AACGCCAAAATCAAAGAGGGCACGGTGCCCCCGGTGGCCTCCCCGTTACGCAGCACAGTGAAAACTAGCACAGTGACAATCGTTTGAAATAAAATTGGATTCAGTAAGAACTAAGAACTTCATTGTCCGAAAACCGCTGACAGTTCATAGCTCAATGACACTTAGAGCCGTGCAAAAGGAGGCGTGAAAACACTCTCCTCATCTCGTTCTATTACGAGAGGGCCATGTCATGGCGTGAGAAAGGTGCTCTCAAAATAAATGGCACTGTATGAGTGAATAAATATTCCGCGCCCCCTTGGGCTATTGGCGGACCCTACCACCTGATCGGATGGTGCAGCCGTTTCGCCCTCCACCTGAGATCTCGGAAAGTTACCGACCGATTTTAAACATTCAAAGAGCGTTCGATAGCCCCACCAGGGAACTACCAGGTTACCAGGTTTCGTTGACCTAGGTGCAACCCATGACGTCACAAGTCAGGTCAAAGGTCGCATTGTTTTCACCGATTTAGTCTAAGGAATGCGTTACAGTCAGTTAACACATCAAATAAAAGGCATGCTATCGAAAAACATCGATGGAGCGTTGGTTGTCTAATACATATGCTGCCTAAAGATGTCATTGATGCCAGGTCAGTTCACAGAGTCAGGTCACTTAGGGTCACAATATGAACCCAACTATGCTAGGGTCGTGTGATACATGTTTTATGGCCAATTTTACATTTAAAATTCAATGGTGTGAGCTAGACGGCCGTAGACGGTGTGAGTGGAGGTCAGGTCAAGGTCAGGTCAAAGAAGGTCAAATTTCAAAGTTGATATTTTGCATAAAAGGGGTATCTATTCGATGCAGCTCATCACAGGAAATCCAATAGTCTTTGGCTTGCTTTGTGTGTTCTGTGACGGCTAAAATTGAATTTGAAAATTTTACGTAATAAATTTTGAGTAGTTTTCTTGCCATAACTTTGCTAAAAATGGAGCTATCGAGTTTAAGTTTGGCATATCTAGAGCAGATAGTTCTATAACATATATTTCAGTTTTAATTTTGAAAGTTGTTGGTATTTTCGGGGTGTTATACTTCTATAGTTTTGATGGTCAAAATCAATTTTTGTTTGGAAATAAGAGTTAGCAGTCTGGTAGCGCTGTTTATTTTACATCTTTTTGATCTTGAATATTTTTCGTTATCTTCAAAACTGTAGCGTGACAGTTCTCCCCGCTAAACCTTTTATTGGGTCGAAAATGACAAAACATGACATCCCTCTGACGTCATTTGTGACTAACCTTTCATAAGAGCTCTGGAAAATTTGGTCACAAGGTGTAAAAATGATGCCCGGAGGGGTCTTGAAAGTTTGGTGGCGACATTTGCTATACTTTAGGAGATATCGACTGAAAATGAGAGAGGGGACCGTTTCGCGCCGCCCTCCCCCTCAACGGGGCTTTCAGTTGCTGCTCTCAGTTCTCACAGAACAATTGGTTATATTACAACGTAGTGGAATTGCAAGCGGCAATATAAGCTTCCTGCCAGCGCCGGACCAGAGTTTAAACATGTTACATGCAGGCTGAATTTTAACATTTAACTTTTGAATTTTTAAACCGTTGAGCTTTTTAGAAGTTGTATGAACTGTTCAGCTCCTTTTTTGGTCCATCACAGCGAGCTTGTATGTCATTTGTCAACCAAAGTCGAATTAAAAACTTTTTATTTGGTCTGGCTTCCTTGCCAACTCCTTAACTGGATCGCCTAGTAGCTTTTGATTGGGCACTGTCCACATTGTCTAGCTTTTCGTGTCATAGACATAGACACTGTCTATGACACGAGAAGAGGCTACTGACATCGTTTGTCGCGGTTGGATAATACCAATCCACGTCCCAGTGGCTGCTCGATCGCACTTTCCCTGGCCCACCTGTCCCACCAGGCTAGACTTTGCCCGGCACAGCCGTCGCCTCAGTGCCTCGGGCGGTGACCCGTTCAAAGGGGCTCACAATTCGTATGGTGCCGTGGCTCTCAAACCAATACCGAACAGTGAAACGCAAAGGCTCACTTTCCATATAAGGCGAACGGCTGATTCTGGCGCCGGGGCTTCATTCATGCTAAGGCGCCCAATCACAGCGCCGCATTTCAGTTAGTGTCGGGCGCAGAAGCTACTATGCTCCGCCCCTCCATCACGTGACCCTGCCCTCATGTGGCCTCAGTCACGTGGTGTTTCCACTTCTTGGCGCATGGCGGCGCTAGTCTCGCAGGGGCGGTGGTAGCTTGCTCCCCCGCCGTCCGAGGGTGATGGGTAGCAACTGCTGGTGACTGTACATCTTCTTCTTATTTTGTCCACGACGAATACCAATTCTCAGTCCTTCATCGACATGATCGCATAGTAGGCATTTAGCGGCCTCGACTTCGTCATCAGTAAAGCTGTCACTCACCAGCTTAGAGATCACATCCAGAGGTACACTGTCAATCTTGCAAAGCATGTAGCAGAGCAACTCATTGATGATAATACCTACTCATCGTTTGACTCTCGGTTTGACTTGGCTATATCCAGCGACAGTGCAATTAATTGAAAGCACGTGCCATTGGTCGAAAAAAATCAAGTTCGGTTTACCGGAGCGCTGTTCGGCAGCCGGCTATTTTGTGTGCAGGGTATGACGCATTCCGCGAGCCGACGTCACGGGCGATGACGTCGGCTCGCGCGCGAGCCGAGCGCCAACGACAAACTAACGGGAACCCTCGGACACCCTCGGGGCATAAACCGCGGAGTAGCATATTGAGCGAGTCTTATAAGGGAAATTCATATATTTTTGTTTCTCAAATGATAATCAGGGCGTCTCTTACCTTTTTACGTATCATTTAGGCTTACCTAACACTTCAGTTGCCAAATATCTGCAATTTATTCAAACGAAGGTATTTTTAGTAAATATCGATGCTATAGACCGAAATCTTTTGAATAAAAACTCCAATCAATAGAAATAAAAATAACTTATTTTATTCCAACCATTTCCTCCAAATCAACAACATGAAAACTCACTTTTACACACATCATTCATAATAAAATAAAGCATACTAACACGCAGCTTTAGACAATTGCGGCGTCGAGTGGCGCGCTGCTAGCGCTCTTTTTCGATCGCAGAGACCCTGCACGCGCGCGAGCACACTACGTCACGTCCGGGGGGCACAGATACATGAAAAATCGCAGTGACGTAACACTTTTCTCGCTTCTCATTGGTCAATAGCCCGTTGCCGGGGTAACGTGCACGTATGTGAGCGCGGGCAAGAGTACTAGCCGGCCGCCGATCAGGGCTCGGGAAATTGACGCAAAAATTAGCCACTTTTTACTTGAAAAATGACTTAATATAAATCCAAATTACACGATAATTCAAATAGAGGCTATTTTAGGCTCGCGGCCTCTGACAGAAAACGAAACGCACTACAAGAAGATCTACATCACAATCTTCAGCGTAAGTTAAAACCCCAGAAATCACCTTTCCAAGATGGAGCAACGAAAAGCCATCCATCCAATCCAACCGCCACCGACGAGTTGAGGCATTGCTATGTAGCTAAGTCTTTGGCAGAGTTTCATTATCCATGCTTTGCAAACAGTGCCATAACAACACAGTTAATTAATCACCAAGCTTCTTTGCAAGTTCCAATACAGTTGAGTCGCACGCGATTTGAGTGCAAAAATCAAGAAAAGTGCCAACTTGTTCCCGTAAAATATTTTGAATATTGACCTAAAAAAATGAGTAATTTCCAGATAAAATAACAGCAAAATCAGTTTTCGCTTGCCAATAAAACTCACAGATATTGAAGCTCCATTATTAAAGGAACATTTTAGTATATGCCATTCTTGATAAAACTTCTTAGCCACGCAATACCAGCGCAAAATAAAGAGACACTGAAAACACGACCAATCACTCCGATTTACCATAGGAAAATACATAGAAAATGTATGTCTCAACTGCGCCAAATATACAGACAGTTATATACCTACATGTGACGTCATGATTAAGCCTGACCAATCAGAAGCAAGTTGTTTTCAGCCACAAATAATTAATTTCTGAACTAACTAGGCATTTTTTTAACAAAGTGATTTTAAATTAAATCATTAAAAATTCTGAGCTTTTTTATTTTACCAAAACGTACATAGCATGCAGATAGGTCCCAACCCTATTGGCATAAACGTGATGTAGCTCGGTTCAGAAAGAGTGAAAACGAATATCTACCAAATTTCATTGAAAAATATTCACCGGTTTTCAAGATATTATACTTTTACTTTTGTTTACTTTTTGGGATCTCCGCTGTTCCTAGCGACTTTATTTGGAAGTGCGGCATTTGTTGCGCGCAAAGCAGCGTATACCACCGCGTGCTACCAAACGTTTTAGTAAAAGATTTAAAAATCGTTAGATCTCCGCTGACGTCACAAATTCTAAGGGGGCATTCCAATGCATTAGCCCCTTAGAATCCGAAAACTGCAAGTTTGAAATTCCATAACTCCGAATTAAAGCATTTTTCGATGTTGTGAGTGCTCAAACATGTATTTTCAGGCCATCTATATTACTATTTGAGGAGGGTGCGTCTGTCCGTTACCGAGGTCCCGACTTGGTGGTGCTTTGCGTGGACTGCAGGCCAGACCGTTGCACCTAGCCCGGTGAAATTTGCACAACTCATAGATCAAGGATGCGCGACGTGCCTTTGAGGGGTCTCAGCTCGATCGGATTGATAGGGAGCGCGTGGCGCGTGCTCAAAAAGTGCAAATTCGCGTCATAGACTTTACATGTATAAATCGGCATGCGAAATCGGGCGAAAACGGCTAATTTTGGTCGACACGGGTCCAGTTCCCGTGCAATATCTTGGTGACCAGGGGTCCGACCGGCACGGGGAAAACAGCATCGTGTACACAATTGAACGGGCTATTGAATGGTGTGCAATGCAGAGGATAGCACGCGCCACGTGCACCGGAGAGGGCACTTTTATTTGAAAAATTGCGGTTTTTGAGGGATTTTGGAATTAGTTTTATTTTTAGGTTACCGTTAAATGGAGCGAGTTGAATCAACGCCTATTTGCAAGAGAAAGGTACCGCCTCTCATATAAAAATTGTGAAAAGCTGATTGATCCAAATCAAGGTGGTGCAAATCACAGGAGAAAATGGTGTTTGTCAATTTTGTGCCACTTTATTAATCACACGGGATTTGCTGCATAACCTGATACCTTTGGCAATTGAATATGGTACCATTGGATAGAGCATTCAATTCTGTCCAATATTCACTCTTCATTTTTGCATAATTAGCAACAGTATCCTTAAAAATGTAAATGTTCCAAACCATTACATTGTCATTTTTAGCGAAATTCATCGATGGCCCTCAAAAGACTTCACGCCGGTTTTCGAATCATTCTTAAGTAGAACGCATGATAATACGACACGGGCACCTCGATGCGATGTATCTTTTTGTTTTATTACAAAATGCTTGGCCGTCAAAAAGCAATCGAACGAAATGGATGCCAACCAAATCGACACAGACCAACCCAATACCCACGGGTCAAAAATAACCCTTCTTCGCGTTGCGGAGCACGCGGGTAACCCTAGTGGCCACCAATTTTGCTATCTCAACTCAAAACTAATGTTAAGGTGGGATGGTCACTTTAACCAAATGCTTACGTTTTGTGAGTAGATGTAACGCAAGCATGTTTAGAACCGGACATGACATAAAACATTCCCCCGCTACTATTTTTCCTAGTTTGTAGTTTCCTAGTTGACACGAGATTTTGTTTAGATGGTTTGTAATGAAAATAGTGATAAGTGGTCCCCCTCCAACTGCTTTAAATGTTTTCCCCGGTCTATCGAAGCAGTAGATTGAATTTGGGGATTAATCTTGCATGTTATCTAAGTTTTATTACCATGATAAGTGTATTGGTCAATCGAGGCATCATTGTCAAGCCTTTTACTTTGCCATCCAGCTTTTTTATTTCTGGTTGCCATATTCTTTTATCCCGATATTTATGTGTGTATTTATTATGTTGTCATGTCTTTTCCTGTAATCAGCATGCTCTATGGTATAAATTTGATGTGCCAACCCATCTAAAAATGCATTATGCTTTAATCTCCATAGACCTTTGGTAACCGGATGCTGGGAGTCATGAGCTGGATGATGCCGTTCTTCGTCGCCTGCTCGACGTTTGGAGGCCTCAATGGCGGCATCTTCGCATCCTCGCGGTTATTTTTCGTTGGTGCCCGTGAGGGCTGCCTTCCGGTCGCCCTGGCCATGATAAACGTCAACAAGTTGACCCCAGTGCCTTCTCTCGTATTTTTGGTAAGTATTGATTTATTTTGTTGATGTTGTGCTACGTGGCATGTATAAGGACGTACAGGTCTCGCGAGATTAAGCGATAGGTTTTGCACTTTTACATTTCCGGTTATATCTCAGAAACTGATCGATCTACGATGAAGCCATTTTACACGATCATGGCCGGCTTGTTACCCAACAAGTCGATCGCATCTTCAACACTTAAAAGCTTAAGACGACGAAGATATAGCCTGAAGTACACTAAATTTTCTAGGTGCAAAACCTACCGCTAAAACCCGCGAGACCTGTACGTTCAATGGCGTCGTTTAGCGCTTTTCTCTCCCAAACATTTATCAGTTATCCGATCGGTTTCTGTGACGCGCCATTTCGTTTCAGTGCTTTCTCACACTCTGCATGCTGGTGACATCGGACGTGTACTCGCTGATCAACTACATCAGCTTTGTGGAGAGTCTGTTCATCACTATGTCTACGGCCGGTCTGCTGTACCTGCGCTGGAAACTGCCCGAGGCCCCGCGGCCGATCAAGGCGAGTTTGAACGCACGATTTTTAGTCTGCAGCGCCCTACAACAGCCAACATACGGTGTTCAACAGCAATGTTGCCTACTGCTGCAGCACTAAATAATTTTGCTTTTTTTTTTTGCTGGCTAAAACACTTTTTGGTATTTTCAATATTCAATTAGCCGATTTATGCCAAGAACTGATCAACGATTACTGATCCAGATTAATAATGGTTTCGCTGGTACGCTAGCAAATAAACGGTTTTCCGTTCTGCCTTGCTTTCATTACGGCAGCAGTATCGGATGACGATTGGTTTCTCCATTACAAACGCAGGTGAACATCGCGCTGCCGATCATTTTCCTGGTGGTGTGCCTGTTCCTGGTGACGTTTCCCATCTACATGACGCCGGTGGAGGTAGGCGTGGCCTGCGGTATCATCCTGTCGGGCGTGCCCGTCTACCTGGTGGGCGTGCTGTGGCGTCGGAACGTCTCCTGCCTGGACGGCCTCATGGGTACGTGACACTCGCGACTCCATCGTACGGCACGAATGAACTGAGTCGTATTGAGTTTTTACGCTCATTTTTTTTTTTTAACTGACACTTTGGGTGATAGTTATGAGATAAGTTTTACGGCGTGGTCGCTCACAATTTTCATTGTATGGTATACCTAATACGCTCTAAGCAATGCTTTGGAAGATCGTTATATTTAATTTAGTAGCTCGATGGGTACGTACCTAAAGGTTGTAGGTATGTTCTCTGCTGTCGTGTGTGGGAAATCAAATAAAACTTTATATCATGACTCCTTGTTTTCAGACTCTATGAATAACGCGATACAGAAGTTGACCAACAGTGTGATCGACACATCCAAAATGGATTGATGGTGCTTCGAACGCGGCTTGCGTTTTCCCAAGCTGTGATTTCGGACCGCGCTGTGCCAAATCGACGGCCGCTGTCGGTCGGGTCGCCATCTAGCGGTGTGGCGCAGAGCCTTAGTGTAATTGGTCGCCGGTAGGTGACGCCAATGGCGGCACGGGACTCACCGAGTCGAGACGCGTGTTGTCGCTTCCGAGACATGAGCCTCGGCCGATTGTGAGCCGTGTGCAGTTGGGTGCCGGGTCGACGCGACCAGTGTTGCGATGACTGGTGCGATTCAGCCGGTTCACTCGTGCGTGTCGCTGTGTGAGCCAATGTGTGCATGTGGGCATTTCTGACCCCTGTCCTGCGGCCAAACGGGGAATAACAAGCGGGTGGGCGTCTTAGGCCGGTTTGTGTACGAAGCTGTACACAGGTAGACGACTTGAAGCGAATGGCGACTGTTAGGTGACTTGTACGTTTTTATGCATCGTTATAGCAATAAGCCATCGATATATTTATTGGCTGGGTAAATTTGTTTAAAAGAACGTTTGTTGACTGACCTTCGCGCATTTTCTCCTACTTACTAACCAATGACGTGGAACACATGTTCATCGTGTTGGATTATCACCATACATTAGTTGATAACCCTAGCGAAGCCACGTACTTCGCTAGAGTAGTTTGACAGTTGAACGACGTCAACATTTAGCCATAAGGTATATGTGCTGGTGTGAGAATGATGTTTTCCTGTAGACGCCTATTTTAATAACACGAGTGTTTGCCAATGTGTTAATGAGTAGACCGGTAAGATGCTCTTGACAGCACGTATCTGGCTTTGGAGCATGTTTGTAGCGGTCAATAAAATATTTTGAGCCTTTGGAACGAGCAATCGTGAGTAGAATCGGAAAACTATTTTTTTAATACCTTAACCACTGTGGTAAATTATCTTGCAGTAATTTCTAAGCAAATATATATAGCTGCTTAGTAGAACTCATGCTCGTGCGCACCCAAATTAAAACTAAATCTGGGACTGGTTGACTGCTCAAACCTGCGTTTAATCTTGAACTTTTATTAACCTCGAGCAACACGTTCAATTCACATTTACGAGCTGTGGCGTCAGAATTCAACAATAAAACATAACAAACACAAACAAGCGCATGTGCACATCGACCAACATAATGCCCAAAATGGTATGATCGCACTTGACAAAACTAAAAACATTTAAACTTAACGAAAAGGTAAACGAAATGGAGGTAGGGCAACGCCGGCAATATCCACGTAAGATCGAGTCCTCTGAAGCCTATAACAAACAAAAACAAAACACTGAAAATGAACAAAGTGGTGTGATAACATGGCATGCCTACCTACAGCAATGGCATGCATTTTCCACTGATCGCACTCGAACACGCATTTAAATCGCAACAGACGTATTGTGCGACTGGTAACGTCCTGCCCGCTCGGTCCCCTAAATGGCTCTGTATGTATGTTTGTATTTAGTTCAACACTGCCCTGTCAAAGCTGACTGGTCTTTGGAGGCGGGTCATCGCTAACGCGTCGTTCCCCGTTGCTTTGGTGGAGTTTATCGATCGCAGGCTGTCTTCCAGTCATCCCCGCAGGTTGGTGACACGTCTCCGCGAGCTCTGTCGGGCAGGTGCCGCCCAGACCGGCGGAGAAGAGCCGCTGATACTCGTCGAACCGGCCGCCACGGTGGGAGGAGAGCAGCAGGCTCACCGGCACGCTGCAACGAGTGTCAGAGTTACACTGACGCTCAGTAGTTGGTCAGCAATCCCGAGCCCTCAGCAGCTAGCTTCTGTGGTATCAGCTATCACACCTTCATGGAAGGCAAGTGAGTGAAGGGGGGCAGGTAACCTTCTGCTCCATTGGCAGCAATATGCAACAAATGTTAGTCGGCATTGAATGACCACTTAGGTACCTGATTCAAAATATTAGAAAACAATATCACAAAAAAGTAAACTTAGGCAAGTGAGTAATCCCTGACTGATCGGCAGGCTGACCGCCGGGGACCTGAGGACTTTGCCCTCACCTGGCGATGGCGAGCAGCGGCCGGTCCGCCCCAGAGCTGGCCACCAGGTCACACAGGCGGCGCTGGAAGCACGGCTCGTGGCGCCAGCTGCGCGCCGACACCAGACTGAGAAGAGTCCTCACCACCGCTGAAATCACATCCAACAGTCAGCTAAAACGGGGTTCTAGTTGCGATAACGGAGCCCGAAGGCATTTCACGAAACGCCTCTGGTGGCGACGGTTTGCACTTCACAGCAGGTGACCGGAAAATACTGATGCTTTCCGAAAGTATGGGTACAACTGGTCTCCGAAGTCCGAACTACTTTTCAAATAAAGCCATCTGAGTCCGATGGCTTTATTTCAAAAGGAGTAGACAAGGACAGTGAGCCTAAGCAGCTAAAGGATCCTTTTGACTTCGGCGTCAACTGTCAAGTCAGGTCGCCCTTGTGCGCCACCCGCCGTCACAAGGCATTTAGCAATAAGCAAATATGGTAAGTAAGTTCCCAAAAACCGACCCAAATCCGGCCCATGAGACTCTGTGGTACACATCGCCCTCAAGGTGCATACGACAGGACTTATCTACGCCCTGTACAAACCTGCAGTGCGAGGCGCGGAAGCTGAGCGGCCGTTGTTGGTCGCCGTATTGGTGTTGGTAATGACGTCGTTGTCATTGTTGGTGAGCGTGTTGGTGTTGGTGTTGACCGGGTTGGCGTTGGCAGCCGTGGTGATAACGTCGTTGTCCGTGTTGGTCAGTGTGGGACTGTTGGTGTTGGCAATGGTGGTGGTGTCGGCATCGTTGATGGTGACGGTGACGCTGCCGGAAGAAGCGCCGGACGACGCTGCTGCCGCCGTGGACACGGAGGTCGAGTAGCCAACCAGCAGAGCCAGCGGCAGGAAACCGAGCAGGTCGCCGAGGTTCGACTTGCAGTCGCACATAACTCGCTTCCCATAGGGCTTCGGGGTTTTTGGCTTCTTGTTTGATTTGATGTGGCCTTTTGGTTTGCTCTTTCGTCGGAAACTTGACTTCAGTTTTGCTCTTAGATTGTCAAGGCTCAGATTCAGATTGATATTAAGCCCGGGCTTCTTTTTGGCCTTCTGTTGTCCCTTTGAAGCGATTTTCGTTTGTGCCTTATTCGTTGTTTGGTTGCGAATTTGACTGTATGGCATAGCGGTATCGTTCTTATTGTTTTTCTGTATATCGCCTTTCGCAGTGGAAACGGCTGGAACCTGTCCTTGGACACGAGTAGTTGTTCGAGCCGTCTGTTTGCGAGGCCGCCGTCGTCGAGAGGACCCCCGAAGTCGACTCATTGGCTGAGAGCGGTGCGGTGGTATCAGGGGCCGATGTCCGGTCGAACGCGGCGCCATGACATTTGCGCGAGCACCTTTCTGTCGGGAGGTCCCCGCTCTACGCCAATGGGGCAGCACAGCTCCAAGGCGCGGTTTCTGCCTGAGAGGAGCCCGCACCCTCAAGGTGTGTACCATTCCCCTGGGATGCAGCACCATCTCTCCGGATGGATAACTCCGGGAACTTGTCGTGTGGTTAGCAGATATCCCCATCTGACGGGCTCGGGCCGTTTGCCGGCTGACCAGCACCAGCCGCTGCCCCCTCCGTACGGTTTGTGCTAGGCTGGGCTGCCTGCGGCCCAGCCAGGCTAACAATCGGCCGAGGCTGGGCCAGCGGCGGTGGCTGGCGGCCGGGTGGCGCCGCTGTGCTGGCCGCGGCTCTGCAAGAGGGCGCCGCTGTGCCGGCTGCGGCTCTGCAGAGGGGTGTCGCTGTGCTGGCCGCGACTCTGTGTGAGAGCGCCTCTGTACCGGCCGAGACTCGACGGGGTGGCGCCGCTGTGCCGGTCGTAGCTTGATCGGTTGGACTGGAGACGTCTCCAGGAGTCGGTCAGTCGAAGACTGACCCGCTGTTTGCCACAAGACAGGTACCGACTCAGCGCTTTTGGCAGTCGTTCCGTTCAATTTTTCCTTCTGCTTGGACACTGGCGGGTCTACGTGCTCTCCGCCGTCTATCCCTCCCTGCCCAGAGGAGTGATCGACTCCGGGATCCTCTGTCACCAGCACAGATTTCTGGGTGACGCCGTCCCGGTGACCTGACCGGCCGACCGGCCGTGCGGTGTGTCCGGTCTCCCGTGCTGGTGCGGTGGTGGTTGTCGTTCCGCTGGCGAGCGAGTCGAACAGCTCCGGCCAGGTGAGACGGCCGTCGCGCCTGGAGTCGGCTCCGGGCCGCCGTTTGCGTACGTTGATGGGCACGCCGAGCTGCTCGAGCCGCCGGCCGGTGCCGAGCCGGTGCGGTCGGCACAGCCCGGCGGAGTGGCACCGGTCGGGTGATACCGTCCCGTCCAGCCACCGCAGCAGCAGGGTCGACATCGGGCGCAGACCTGCAGCGGGACAACCGCAGTGAGTTACCATGACATGCTGATACATTGCGCATTAGCAACCGTATTTCATTTTCAAAGACTAGGTAAACTGGGAATTGAATGAATTTAGGTACATGTAACCGGGGAATGAATATTGGGCCTGTCGATCGCTCATAATCAGAATTTATTAATTAACGAAAAAATGTTTCGCGCTCGTTAGTCATAACGAGTTTCATATTTATTTCTACCGATTTTCAGGGCGCCACCTCTCTTCTGGATCTAGCCGACTCTCAAGGTCTCCCCCCCCCTTACCTCGTCCCCTGGCGCTCGTGAACCGGCAGCGGTCGCACTCACCGGGCAGGCTGGCCGGTGATGATCGCGAGCGGGCGGTGGCCGTGGACGTGGAAGTGGCAGTGGTTGTTCCGCTCGTCGCTGCCACCGTGGCCAGCGAGCCGGCGTAGATGAGCAGAGCCAGCAGCGAGGTGAGCGCCGCCAGCACGCCCGGCGTCACCGACGACTCGGGACAGCGGCACACTGGCTCGTGCAGGTCCCCACCGGCGCGACGCCGCGTGCCGGCGTTATCCAGATGCGAGGCCACGAGATTGGCGCCGACTCCGACCACCACATCCAGAGCGTCCGGGCCGTCGAGCTGACCGAGCCGGTCCCTTAGCCACAGCAGTTGCTCCGGCAGGCCGGCCTGGGGCGGAGCCGGCTCGCCCTGCACGAACTGGGAGCCGAGCTGAGTCAGTCGGCTCACCAGAGGCTCCAGGGGTGGGTCCCCGGGAGGCGCCGGCACAGAGTCGCCACCGCCCACCAGGTCCGTCCAGATGGCGGCCGAGACGTTCTGAGAGAGCAGACCGGTGACTGCTGGCTCATCAGACAGCACTTGGTCTGCAGACAACAGGGGCTTCCTTGTGACGTGTTGGTCGGCGACTGGCGGCCGCGACGGGGCCATGGCCGATGCAGGTCTGGTGTCGCTCTTGGGGAGCGATGGCAGGCGTGTCTGACCTCGGCGCCGGCCTGGTACGTCCTCCGTACGGGTTTGTTGCTCCTGTGTAACTGGCTTGTCGCCACGGGAGATGCTGCCGTTGTAGATTTCGGTCCAGGTGCCCTGTCCACCAGCTGTGAACCATGGTGGCATCTGATGCCCTGTATGTGTGCTGGGTAAGCTGGTCCCATCATCTTTGATCTTGGAAGACCAGCCGTCTAATGGCCCCAGCACCGGCTCCGAGAGCAGGATGCGCCGGCCGGCGGACGCGTGCTGCGCCCCGACCGTGTTGGCCTGGTAAAGCGCGCCGTGTCCGCCGACGGCGTCTGTGATCGGAGAGCTGGCCAGGAAGCCGTTGGCAGGCACCAGGTTCTGCACGTTGTAACGCGTGACGGGCGCCTCGTCCATGTTGTGGCTGGAGAGAGGACCTGCTGTGGCATCGTTGGGCCCTGAATGGTCCTGGTTGCTAATTGTATTGTTGGTCACAACGTCGTCGGTTGTCTCAAGCTGAAAGCTATCAGAAAGGTCACTGACTTGTTTTTCAGAAGTTTCTGAAGGTCTGCTTAATGCTAGTGCGGAAGTGACGCCACTAACATCGACCCAAGCTTCGGGCATCATCGCCTGCATTGCCTTAGCGGGGTTTGTGGTGTTGTAGCTTGTGACTTGACTTGTTCTGTTGTCTGACTTGCGTTCATACAAGACCGGCGCCGTGCCGGCCACTGGGTCTCGTCTCCGCGTACCTGGTCTGTGCCGATCACCCGCTGCTCGGTCCGCCGGTCTCCTGACTGAAGTCTGCACAGGCAGGCGCGGTACGCCCACCAGGGTAGCTGACACGGGCAGCGGCGGTCGACTCCGCGGCCAGCGCAGCGGCCGGCCGGCCTCGGCGCGCCCTGCTCCCCCGCCGGTCACCAGCACCAGGCTGAAGTTGGCCGAGGCGGGCCCCAGTGCGGGCAGCCGGCGCCTCCTCTGCAGCCGGCGCAGCAGCTCGTGCACCGGATCGACCGGCTGCCGGCGGCCGCTGGAGGCCGTGCTAGTCTGCAGGTCCGGCCGGGCCGGCACCAGGGCCGGGGTCGAGATCGGCACAGGCTCCGTATCGGCTGCCACCAGAACACCTGCTGTGGACACGAAGAGCAGCAGCGACAACATCAGCAGCCGATGAGGAACATGCCCCAGCATGGCTGCCCTAGCGCGAAGGGCGCCAATTTCCTCGTCTGGACAGTCAGCCTTCCGAGGACCAGGCGGTATACCGAATCGGATACCCACTTGAGATGTTCGATGCGGCACCTCCGTCACGTGCCTCAATTGAAGCAGCAATTTCTTTCTGGGAAATTTTCTAGATTTCTCCCAAGTAGAGCACACGTCAGTCGTCCGTGCAACCTTCAATCCGTCCTTGATTCACAAAAGGCAACTACACTAGGTATCACTTGGAACTGCGGCAGACGTCGAGACAACCCTTATTTTGCAGCAGTCTCAACAGGCTTCCTCTGTCCATGTAACGTCGACGACTACCTTCTTACGACTGGCTTGTCATCCGTCGAGCCCATCGGGTTTCCGACAAGTGTCTGGAGCCAGGCACACGCACGCACACGCCGAGGGGCAGCCGGCAGCAGCTCCCGCGTTTTTACCGCGCCACCTGCCCCGGGAGGCGTCGGCGGGTGTCGGCAGCGGTCGACAGATGTCAGCGGTACGGCCGGCGAGCGGGCGCGAGCGCGCCTGCGGTCAGTTCATTAGTGGCCGGACGTCCAGCGGATAATGTGAGAGTGCTGGGACTGCCTCGGGACTGACTCATGACTGGTGACGGGCTGGGAAATCAATCATTCAGCGGCTGCATACATAACGGTTAGCGACTCTACTCAGCAATATCATTTATATAAAAGTCATGCACCTCTGACTGTGGTCGGTATAGGGAGCTGAACCGGCAGGTCAGGTCAGCTGTCCGCCGTGACACGCGGGACGAGATCGGCCGGCGCCTGCGGGAGGGCGGCTTGAGCTCACTGGTGGCGCAGCGTGCGGCCACAGGGGAAGCGGCCGGCCAGACCATCGCCTGACGCGGACGTGAACGCTATCAGCCGCGATATTTTATCAGTGTCGGCCCGGCCGCGGCCCGGCAGGTGGTCTCTGCAGGCCCGGAGCCGGCGATACGCCTCCCAAGCGTGGCCAACGGCCGGTTCCAGGTGACAACGGTCACCCAGGGGTATGTTAGTCGGATGGGCGATGGAAAGGCCACTTTGACTCTGAAGCTATCGCCAAAAGCACCGAACGGGCTGTATACGATCAGTTACTTTACAAACCAGCAACCATTATCTATTCTTATCTAGTCAGCCTGGTCTTAGGTCGAATCCCTCCACTGACACTGCTCCTTACTGTAACATATAGAGTACTTATTGGAGATTTGAAGCTATGGACCAGAGCGAGGTCAGTCTTCTACATCTGTTAGATCTGTGTTTGTGTGTTTTGGAAGTGTTTACACTGCTCTAGTGTTTTGGTTCTCTAGTGCTCTAGTGTAATCTAGAAGTGTTTTGGCGTTATTACTGCGCGCAACGCAGCATATACCAACGCGTGCTACCAAACGTTTTAGTAAAAGATTCAAAATCGTTAGATCTGCGATGACGTCACACATTCAGAGGGGGAATTCAAATGCACTAGCCCCTCTGAATCAAAAGTGCTGCCACTTTGAAATTAGATATTTTCGATTTGAGGCTTTTCTCGATGCTGTGAGTGCTCAAACCGGTAAGTGCAAGCCAGGGACTCCATTTTGGCTATCTCAACTCAAAACTAATGTTAAGGTGGGATGGTTACTTTAAGTGCATTGTAATGTCTGATAGGTAATTGATTAATTGATTAGTCTCTGGTGACCCTTTGAAGGTCACCAGAGATCAGCAAAGTGAAAATATTATTTTTCCCGGATTACGATGATAATCAGCTTCAGACGCTCTAGCGCGAGAACCAGAAGAGCTAGAGCGGCTTGGAAAAAGAAACGATAGCCCATTTACAGCACTATCTGGAGTAAAACGTCAGATTTGTCCTCAGGTCAACGGATTGGCTTCCAGGGGTAAAAAATCGCCAAAATAACCAATATTGACGAAACTAGTCTTTTTCGGGCATACCTAACTTCTGACATCGACGTGTTTTTTTTTCCAAACCCGACATCTGTTCTCCCGTAAATTTCCGGGAAGCACGAAAGATGTCTCCAAAAAGTGTCGAATTTCGATCTTGATCAATGTGTGTTCGTAAGCTTGTTCTGACATTGCTTAATCTGCCAAGACAAAAAAAAAAATCAGAGAAAAAGAGTGACTGTAGGTACCTTTTCTGAAAGGTTCTTATCAACTTGTCGGAAATTCCCGGGAGAACAGATATGGGGTTTGGAAAAAAGAATACGTCGACATATTAAAGCTCGGTCAATAATTTAATCAATATAACATTTTTCTCAGACGCGTCGTTTCGAAGACATCAATTTCAATAATGCATAAAATAGCCTCGAAAAGTCAAATTGAAAATTTGATCTCAGGTCAAGGTCACGACCTGACCCAAAAAAGTCATTACGAGCGAGCGAGCGCAGCGAGCGAAGCGAAGTCTTTTCAATATAACGGAAAAATCTCAGTATGAGCGGCCCGGCCCGGCCCGGCCTGTAACGCTTTTGAGAGGCTTATATCTCAGCAACCGCTGGACCGATTGGCCTGCGGTCTTTTTTGCTGGGTAGCCCCATCCCTTCTACCCCGTAATTGACTACTTTTGATACATCTAGCTCAGTGACCGTCGTGGCACGTGCCACGTGAAAAGTCAAGGGTGTTCAAGCAGTTTTGCAAAAGTAGTGATTTTGAGAGGCCCATATCTCAGCAGGGGCTTGAGCGATTGTCTTGCGGTAATTTTTATAGGGTAGCTGCATCCCTTCTACCAAAGGTCAGATACTCTTGATCGATGTGAGTGACCCCTACTGCACGTGCAAAATACAAAAAGAAGAGGTACCAAATTTGTTCCCATTTCAGTAACTCGGTAATTACTGGGGCGATTTCGCTGAAACTTGGCATACAGATAGGCACCCACCAGGCAATGCATTCCCATGTGTTGCGGTTAGGGCATGCTACTGCACGTGCGCACGTGCAGGGGGCTTTCCAGATCTCGAGAATGGCTGGGCCGATTGCGCTCAAATTTGGTACACGGTTGGGGACCGGTTAGTAGGGTGCCGTGCAAAAGTCATTTTGAACCCCGTTTTGCACGTGCGCACGTGCAGAATGCCGCTTCCAGATCTCAGGAACGGCTGGGCCGATTGCGTTAAAATTTGGCACACCGCTAGCGGCCGGTTAGAAGGGTGCTTTGCACAAGCACGTTGGAAGTACCCTCTCGCCCTTCCGCACGTGCAGGGCTCACTATCTCGCTCGCTCGTTCTTCGCCCAAAAGGCGTTTTACTGGTAAGTAATTTCTATTGATTTTTTCTCGTTTACCCTAACAATCCATTTTTGTTCCTCAGATTACCTGTATGCTTCCATTCCACGCTCATTGCCTAAATATTTTATGCGTCATGCGGTAACAAACAACGTCCTCACGCCCTTGCGGCGGCCTAACGAGCGGCCACCACAACAGAGCGCGGCAGTGAACGACACTCAGCCGACCGTCTCGAGGGACGCAACTCGAGCCGGGTCCTGCCGAATCGGACTCACCTCTGACCTTGAGCGCCCTATCGGACACTGCAGTACACTGCGCACTATCCTCTCTCAGGTGTTGTTGAGATTGGAGCGTGCCCTTGCCTCAGACTGCTCTATTGACTCACATCGTGAGCATTGTTTTCCTCTCTTTGTTTTTACTTAGCGGATGATAAAGACGGGCTACGTCATCAATGCACCATACACAGGGCCTTCTCGGTACGTTTTTATTACGAGCGAGCGAGCGAGCGAGCGCAGCGAGCGAAGCGAAGTCTTTTCAATATATGTAAGGGAAAAATCTCAGTATGAGCGGCCCGGCCCGGCCCGGCCTGTAACGCTTTTGAGAGGCTATCACAGCAACCGCTGGACCGATTGACCTGCGGTCTTTTTTGCTGGGCAGCCCCATCCCTTCATCCCCGTAATTGACTACCTACTTTTGATACATCTCAGTGACCGTCTTGGCACGTGCCACGTGAAAAGTCAAGGGTATTCAAGCTGTTTTACAAAAGAAGTGATTTTGAGAGGCTCATATCTCAGCAGCCGCTTGGGTGATTGTCTTGCGGTAATTTTTGTAGGGTAGCTGCATCCTTTCTACCAATGGTCGGACACTATTGATCTATGTGAGTGACCCCCAGGCCTCACTGCACGTGCAAAATGCAAAAAGAAGAGGTGCCAAATTTGTTCCCATCTCAGTAACTCGGTAATTACTGGGGTGATTTCGCTGAAACTTGGCATACAGGTAGGCACCCACCAGGCAATGCATTTCCATAGGGGTGTTCACGGGCACCGCACACTGCTGCGTGCGGTGTGTGCGGTGCGTCCAGCAGGCGTGG